TGGTAACAAGTAAATCAAAAGTTTCTCCTATAAAGCAAGTTACCATACCAAGATTAGAGTTATGTGCAGCTGTATTGCTGGGGAAGTTAATGACTTGACTAATATCTGCTCTGAAAATGAATAATGTATTTTTCTGGAGTGACTCTTCAATAGTCTTGGCTTGGTTGAAAAAGGAGCCCCGTTGTACGAAAACGTTTGTTGCTAATTGAGTTGCGGTGGTTCGAGAAATGACGGAGGTGCGACAGTGACATCACGTCCCATCTAAACAGAACCCTGCGGATCTCATATCAAGAGATGCTGATCCGGTCAAACTTCAGCTGTGTGAACTGTGGTGGTGTGGTTCCCCATTTCTTCTTCAATCTGTGATGACTAAGTGCCAAGATGATATCCCTGAGGAGTTCGAAGAACTGTATCTTCGCGAATTAAAACCACCAGCAGTAAGTGAAATACGTGCACTTATTAACACTTTTGAGCCATTAGATGTCATCAATAATTGTTCATCTTACAACAAATTGCTAAGAGTAGTGGCTTGGTGCAAGAGATTCTTGCCTAACACCAGGCATACATTGCATGCTACACGCGGAACGTTGACAACCAGTGAACTTTCTAGTGCATTATTGTGTATTGTGAAAAACGTTCAAAGGACTTCATTTGTGACAGAAATCCAGTGCTTAGCAAAGGGTGCTCCTATTCCTAATACAGCACAAAGTCTTTAATCCGGACTCGTCAGGACTTTGACGATTTCGGATTAGGGGTTTTTCCGGATTATAGATCACCAATTTAAATCTGGTAGGATGGCATGCAGAAATTATAAAATTAAAAATATGAAACCGTAACTTATGAAATAAAGAGCAATTATGATCTAAAAGGTATCAAAATTTATTTTAAAAAAACTTAATATTTATTTGTTTATTTTATTAAATATTTCTTTCAATGTAAGTTGTTCAAGTTGCTTCATTTTACGTGCTAATACTTTCTCTTTATTTCTATAAACAGACATAATTTCTTGTTCAGTTACAAAGTTCCACTGTTCAAGTCCTGTAATTGCTGTCCTGAGAATACCGACTAAGTTGTCAATCGAAATTTTTTCATTTTCACTAACCTCTCTGTCACTTTCTTCATGCCTTTATCCCTTTTTTGCAACAATTTCACTTTTTGTTTGATGGACATCAAAACATGCTTTCGCTTTGTAGATCCTTTGGTACCTCCAGAATCGGAAACTCTTTTTGACATAATCGAAAGTTCAAGCTTACTTTTTATAAAATTGCTCTAACAGTCTGAAAACAATAAGCCGGATCCAATTAGAAGATTAAGGAACAACGCAATCTGCAACATTAACTGAAATAGATAATTAGATAATTTTAGCCTAGCTTATAGCGTCCGTTATACATTAAACATGCATGCGTCAAGGTAATATGTGCATACGTAAAGGTATTATGCGTAAACACTACGCATGCGCAGAAAAGTTTGTAGCTTTGAGGTCCGGATTAAAGACTTTGTACTGTAGTAATAAACTATTGAATTGTGTCCATTTTTAGATCATGATGGAGTACTCAGAGTGGAGGGCAGACTGAAGAAGAGTGACTTAAGTGAAATGAGAAAACATCCTATGATTCTGCCAACTAAACACAATTTTACTGTAATTGTGATTAATCATTTTCATGTTCTTTACTTTCATGCAGGTGCTGAAACAACCCTATCGCCTATAAGGAGTAAATTTTGGATTGTTTCTGCAAGAAATGTAATTAGAAAAATTATATTTAATTGTATGATTTGTAAAAAGTTAAATTCTAGGTCTGCGCAGCAACAGATGGCTGATTTACCAGCTGCAAGAGTGACCATATCAAGAGTTTTTGCTAGAACAGGACTTGATTTCTGCAGTCCATTTGTGGTAAAAAAAAAAAAAAATTGTAGGTAGAAATAAACAGGTAAGAAAGGTATTTGTATGTATTTTTGTATGTTTTACTATGAAAGCCTTGCACTTTGAGATTGTAAATAATTTAACAAGTGCAGCATTTATAGCAGCACTTAAACGCTTTATTGCCAGTCGAGGTAAGCCCTCAGATATTTTCAGTGATAATGGCAGAAATTTTGTGGGTGCTCATAGAAAATTAAGTGAGATTCTAAAATCTTTATTTGAGGATAAAAGTGAGGGAGAAATCAATCGTTATTTGGCTACTGAAGGCATAAATTGGCATTTTAATCCTGCTCACTTTGGACGTTTATGGGAAGTTAGTGTGAAATCCCTTAAATATCACTTGAAACGTGTGGTGGAAAAAACAATTCTAACTTATGAAAAATTTTTTACTCCAATTGTTCAAATTGAATCTGTACTTAAATTTCGCCCTCTTTGTCCCATATCAATTGATCCAAATGATGTAGAGGCATTGACACCTGCTCTCTTTCTTATTGGCTCGTCTTTAATTGCATTGCCTGAACCTAATTTTCAGAGATTCCTATAAATCGAATAACTAGATGGCAAATGGTTCAGAAATTAAATCAAATTTTTTTGGAAAAAATGGGCTTCTGAATATTTAAACAAACTTTTAAATAGACCTAAATGGTATAAAGGAAAAGTAGAATTGATGGAAGATGATTTAGTAAAAGATTTGGATAACTACTCTCCTTTAATAGCACGAATTATTAAAACCCATCTAGCTCAAGATAATATTAGTTGAGTTGTGACACTTAAAGATAAAAATGGAACCTATAAAAGGCCAATGACAAAAATTGTGCCTTTGCCTTTTGTTAATGAAAACATTTCAATTACTTAAATTTTATTTGTAGTTAATTATCAAGTTTGAGTTTGTATAATTGTATTATCTTGGAGTGTTGTGTTTCTATTTTATAACTTGTATTCTAAATTTATTGTTTAATTTAACATTCAAGGCCGGGCTGGATGTTGACGCCAGAGGCGTCATCTGTGAAAAATATGTAATATTTGTATTTTAAAATGATGACGCTGATGTTTGTTTATAACGCCACCTTGCGGCCACTTGTATTAAGTTTGTGTGTGTTCTGAGACGACGCCGAGAGCTGCGAACTAACAATGCGGCTTAAGTAATTAATAAATTTTAATATACAGTTCATGTTTGAGTTCTCATGTAAAGTGATTTATTTAATTATGAGTTTTACTGAGCTATTGACGGGCATAATAGGGTTACCAAAACATACAACATAAAATAATCAGGTTGCCTTAAGTGGAACAACAATTTGTCGAAAATAATAATATTTGCCTAGTGTGCTCCATCATTTAGACACTGCACGGACTGGTCCCAACTGAATGACCCTCATATCAGGCAAGGGATAGGTCACAAGTCATTGTTCCCCAAGAGGATAAAAGCTCACCTTTTGCTACTACCCTTGGGCCCCAACCCAGTGACAGACCGAAAACTTCTCATGAACCACTGCTAGCTCCTGGGTGTGCAGGGTCCCAATTTCCCGATTCCCAGGTTTCACTGCGGCGGGAAACATACATGCCTAGAGATCTGACTGGTTGTTTAATTGCTGTCATCAGTACTACGCCAGCTCGGACCCTTATTCCTGTGGGCCAACTACACAAAGCAGAGTACAGAGTTCTTAACTCTCTCCTCAGAGAGACTGACCACCCCTTCCGGTGAGCCAACCGCTTGGCGGAATACAGAGTTCTTATCTCTCTCCTCACAGGGCAGTAGGCTTCGCCACTCCCCTCTCAGTTAAAAGATTTGAAACAATCTTTCTTTGGGGTTCTGGAACCGGCAAGCTCGTAATTTTGTACCCCCCCCCATGGCCGAGACTGCCTAGGTACAGATCCTAGCCAGCAGCTTCACAGAGTTCCCTGTGTCAATCCTCAGAGGGAGACTTGGTAATAAATGGAACTAGGCATTAATCCAAAGGGTACCCCAAAATACAGACTACCCCCATCAACCATGAAATTTCCACTAAGCAATGCGATTCAGCACTAATTATAGATAAGTGTGATGTCACAATACATGCACAACATCTGCATTTTCTTTTGATATAACCTTGACTGGTTCTCGATCAGATACTTTTTGTTTTTTATAAACAAAGATATAAATTAATTATTATTGCTGCATTTTTTCTTTCACTTAAGAAAAACACTTTTCTTTCACTTGAAAAAAATTAACAAAATTTGAGGTGTGGCTTCAACAGCAAGCAATGAATTATTTTCAGTTAGTTACAGGACTTTACCATCAAGAAAATTTGTATTAATGGATACAATAATGTAAGCTGAATATGGTAGATAAAACAGTAATAGACTAGAACAGTTACTAGTGGAAAGTTTATACTCATAGTGTTCTAAACAGAGCTTCTGGTACAATTGGAGGGCATAACAAAATAGTAAAAATTGATGAAATCCTTTTTACAAAGCACAGTAACGAAGCAGGTCGATTACTGATTATTATTAATTAAAGAGGCATCAGTACTTTCAGAATTCCACAGGTACAACTGGTGCAGCTTTAGCGGGATCTCTGTCAACTTTCACGGTCAACAGGATAATACATCAGCATAGCCAAACAAAACTGTTGTCACTGAAATGTGCAGAAGTGTTCAATCCTGAAGACAGATGATTATGTTCAGATTCTTCTGTATCTTTGACAAAATAAAACATCTGAATATTCCATATCTGAAGAATTTTTTAAAAAAATCTTTTACATACATTTACATACATTTTCTCTGGGATTTTTTTAAGTACGCAATCTTAAAATTTATAATACCCTCTTTATAAAAAAAAATTGAAATTTCTACCTAATATTCATCCCAGAAATATAAAAGTTCAATTAATTCAGCTTAAATTTGAATTATAAGAAAAGTAAAACTGTGTAGCAATTTGCTCCTTCTTTACTTTCCTTTAAAGAAAATAGGAAAAATGAAAAGACAGAATGTACGAAATAGAATAATGATTTTAAACTTACCTTTCAAATATATAACATACTTGAAATATATATAAAATATTGTAAGCATACATGAAACATATACAATAATGATTTCAAACTCACTTTTCTCTTTTTTACTTTTGCGGCACTTGAAGACTTTTCTTTCACTTCAACAATATGAGTTAATGCAGATTCACATTCTTTCACAATTTCTACTTCATTTTCAGTTTTATCTTCATGATTTAAAATTTCTTCATCTATGGATACATTGTTTGAATTGAAAACTTCAGACGAGTCAGCATTATCTGTGCTAGTACTACCATCACATATTGCATAATCACCAGGGCCGTCTTGTCTGTTATTAACATTCTGTGGATTTTCATTATTTGTTTTCAATGCTAACTTTCTTTTTTCTGATTTTACATCATTTGAAGTCTCTTTCTTTACTTCAACAGAAATAGATGCACTTGAAACTTCATGTTTGCAAGCTACAACAGTCTTTAATTTATTTTCAACTTTATCATCCTCATTTGCCATTTCATCTTTTGTGGATATACTGTTTGAATTAAATACCTCCAGAGATTTAACACCTTCTGTTTTAGCATTATCTTCACCTAGGACAACATCATCTGAGCTATCAGAGTTTCTAAAATTTTCAAATCTTTTTACATGTTGTAAGTTTGTTGAATTGCCACTGGATGACTTACTTTTATTAATATTAGATGAAATTTCATCCTTTGCTACATTTAAATTTTTGTTTTCTTTGCACTCTGCACTTTCAACTGCTTCTAACAACACTTCTGGTTTAATTTCAAGATCATTTTCAGCAATTTCAGTTTCCTTACAACACAGTTTTATATTCTTAGCATCAATTTCACTCGATTTTGGAGATGAAGCTTTCCGTTTTCGAGCACTGCTCATTTGGAAAGCTGCTTTAATATCCATATTCTTCAGTGGTGCTGTTAAAAAAAAAAAAAAAAAGTTGTAAAATATTTTAAGAATTGAAAAGTACTTTGATTGTAATTATTATTTTCAAAGACTGATAAATCTCCCATAATTATACAAATATTATAAATTTATTTGTTATTACATTACATTAATAAAGGTACATATTTATATATAATAAATCAATATTTTTGAAATGCTTTCAAGCAATGCAGAGCTGATAATTAGTGTCAGTGATCAATGAATGCAATCTAGTAAATAACATTCATTCTAGTTCATTTCATTATTTGCCTGCCTAAAAAACAGTTTTTCTATACATCACAAACTACAAATATGAATTGAAAAAATATATATATAATGATGAAATAACAAGAGAAAAGGCACTATAAAAAACAAAGCAACAGTAAGTTGAGTGTTGCCAAATTGACTTTTACAAGACTCAATGCCATAAATTTCTTTTTTTTTTTAAATGGGTATTCACTATTGAATTCATTTGGAATTGAATTATTAATTAACTAGCAGCTTCGCTGCCAGCCCTCGTCTGGCTTTTAAATGTACCGGGAAAATGGCTAAAGGGAACACCAAACGTTAAATTTAAAAACTGCTTAGAATTTTACTCTGCAGAACAACTTCATAAAAAAAAAGTTATTACATATAACAAAATTACAATGAAATAAGCAATATCCCTTAATACAAATATTAATTATCCTAATAAATAAATTAACCAACTTTCCTTTGCAAAATCTTAAAAACTCTATAAATACAAAGGAGGTTAAGGACTTTGTTTGCTAAAAACAAATCACTCAAAACATTTTCATATATCTTAAAAACAGTGAAATAGCAATAAATAACATAAAAGAATTTTTAAAAAAAATCTGACAAAGCAAAGTATAGCATTAATGATATTTTATCTTATATTTTCAAGAGAAAAAAATTACAATGAAGTAAGCTAATATCTCTTAATACAAATATTAATTATCCTAATAAAAAATATAACCAACTTTTCTGTTGAAGAAAAAAAATCGTGCAAAACTTTTCAATATCTTACAAATAGTGAAATAAGCAAAAAATAACATGAAAGAAACTCAAAACAAAAAATTCCACGCAGAATTTTACTCTGCAGAACAACTTTATCAAAAAATTCAATAAAAATGTATTATATATGTAAAAAAATGACAATGAAATATGCCAATCTCTTAAAAACAGTGACATAAGGAATACGATGAAAAATTGTTGCCAAACCCATATTTCGAAAAGAATGAAACTATTCAAAGTGATGTGATTTCATCAAAAATCTATCAACAACAATAAGATAGGAAAATTGTTGCCAAAATCACATTTTTAAAGATGTGAGATGCGAAAAGTATACTCGAAAGCTTCATTTTAAAAAAAAATTTTAAAATACAATATATTATCATTTTTCCAAAATTCTTCTTGTAAAAACCGTCGCAAGGATGAAAGTTTAACGTGTCCAAAAATGAAAGAAAAATAAACTGTGCATTTTTAAACATAAACACTTTTAGAAAAAATCCCGTTGAAAAGGTGTTAAACTCACTTTGTTAAATAAATTCGTATTTTATCGATTTATTGAAACACAAAATTTATTTTAAGTTCGTAAAATAGCTAAGTGCCTATGTTTCATGACGATGTGAAAATGGAGTGTGTAGAGTAAAATCTCGCTTTCCTATAGCCCATTATGTCTCAAAATGACGCGCTTTTGTCACAAAACATAAAAAAATTCAAATTTGAATTTCCAAAAAAACGCTTCAAGGTGCACTGGCTTTTGTCTAGATGCACCTATGTACCAAATTTCGTAGCCGTGGGTCTATTAGCTTACGTGCAATGCGAACGAAAGACACACTGACACACACACACACAGACAGACTCTTTCTTTTATTATATGTAGAGAAAACTGCATCAACTTGCCAACTGCAACTGATCATTATACCTCCACCATCTAAAACAATATTGGATGCAGCTGGCTCCTTCTTGGTGAAATTTTGGATGAACTGCATATACTCCATTTTATATTGCCAGCAAGTGATGGTAAACCTACTATACTTTCTTATCAGCATACTTATTGCTTTTTTTTTTATTTTATAAGTGGAGGGGGAGAATTTTTTTCAAAATTCTTAAGCCCTTTTCACTAGTTATCTTTCTATATTACTAACTGTTTGTTTTGTAAGAAAAAAGGGTACTATTCGGTTTCGAGGGCCATAAAAAATAGCCAAACTGTTGTTGATGCCAATGCTGCCAAAATAATTGCGGCAACCCTAATAATTGCGGCAAGAAAGGAAGTAAAATAGTAAATAACTATTTAAGATTGATGTTTTAATTTAGGTGTAAGGTTAATTTCATATGATACTTTTTTATTATTATAATTTATATGAAAAAGGCTAAACATGACTGAATGGAAGCATAAGAGTAAATTACTATTTCAGATCACTATTATAATTTATATAAAAATTGCTAAACATAACTGAATGGATGCCTGCATCGCTATTTCGCTACCGACTTATCGCTAAGCATAATTTCATCTCGTTGGTTGTTCAAACGTAATTTTCTATAATGAATGATGCCTTTTCTGTGAAAATATTCTCGGTAAAGTGTAGAATTGCTCACTTATTTATTTGCCGCTTTTTACAAGGGTAAAAACAATTGGATTTTTTTAAATTTTTTTTTACTTTTCAAGTGAAAATAGGTTGATGTGTACATAGACAAAGTCAAGGATGTGCGCAGTGCCATTTTTGTGCAATTCTATGATTTTTTTTAAGTGAAAATAAATCGATGTGCACATGGATACCGAGTATGTGCAATTCCTAAAAAAGCGTCAAGCAGTGAGTGATTCTGCACTTTACCCAAAATTCTATTGCCGAGTTTTCGTCATGGGCAATTCCCAAATTGTTAAATCCATTTGGATATCAAAAAAGGATTTAAAATTAAAAAAGTATTTAAAAATTAAACTAGTATTTCAATGGCGTCTTGAGAAATATAGAATTATATAAACTTACGCAATCTGAAATCAGTGCGTACGCTAGATTTGGTGCGCTGTTAAATGGGCACGTTTGCTAGATTTGGCACTTTTGCACGTACATTTTCATTGCAATTTTTTTCGGCCCTTGAAACCGAATAGTACCGAAAAACGTTATTTTCAGAACTATTACTGCAATTATGATACATCTATTTTGTAAAAGAGGAAACAGAAAAAATATATATGGTTTCATTCCCGTTTTCAACATTATCATTGTTCTGTCCTTGATTTCCACTTATTCAAAGAAGAATAAATTATATATGTACTTTATAGATAAATATGGTTTTAAGTATTACAATAGATTACCAATTGACTGGGAGTTGATTAACTGGGTTACAGTTAAACTGGTTAACTGAGCCTTATATATATAAAAAAGTGTATTGTATAATAATGAAAAAAATATTAAAATAAATCATCAGAATAAACAAAATCTCTAAGGGAAATATAAAAAGTAAATAAAAAGTAAAATTTAAAATGAATGGGATTACAGAAGAGACAGAAAATAATACAAAAGTATCCAGCAATCGTTTTTATTCATAACATTAGTAATTTAATTGTATGTGATCTGGAATATATAAACATTGCTAAATCTATACTGTTAATTGCTAAATCATTCACTAAAACTAAATCACTCAATTAAGTGAACAGCCATTAATCACTTTTTTTTTTTTTTTTTTTTTTGGTAAATTTTCTTTAAAATACAGGTAATATAAACAAAAACATTAAATTTTCTGTTTTGAATGCTGACTTAATTTATCTAATCAAATGAACTTACTTTCGAAATTAAACAATTTAAACAACAGGTAAATTGATCTGCTAATTATAATATGGGATATTTCTCTTTTCCATGTTTTTTTAACTGCTGTCAAATTAACCAAGTTTTTGGGATTAACTATAAATGTTATGCCCTACATTACCACAATTAATCAGGAATCTAGTGTATTTTAAAAGTAAAAAAATAGGTGGTTCTAATGATGTACGTATTCTTTAATTTTTCATTTTAGTTATACCATATTTCATTTTAGTTTATTATAGGCACAAATAACAACCAAAAATAATTTTACAAATATCTTAACCGATTTTTTTTTTTTTTAATCTAAATTTTTTTTAAATCTAAATTTCTTTTCTTTTTCAAATCTAAATTTAGATTTTTAAAGAGGTAGCTTAAAATTTTTCTTTAAGACATTTTATTTTTGAAAATTATTAAGGATAAAAACAAAATAAATTTAATTTGAAAAAAATCTAGTGATTATCATATTTTTACCAGGTTGGGTTTAGGAAAAACTACACAAAAAGGGAAGAAGCTGAAAAAAATTAAACATGATGCAACTATGCTGAAGAGCAAATTTTATTGATATTTTAACATAATTAAAATTGCTTTATTATTTCTGCAATAGAGTGCAATTTTTTTTTCCAATAATCCAGTAAAAAGTGTTGTAGGATTCTCTCATTCATTTATAGAAGTGGTATTTCAGTTTATTATTTTCCCTCTCAATCATATTGGACCAATCAGTTCATCATTAATATTAATGATTTTTAAATTTATATATTTCAATATTAAATTTTTTGAATATTTCAATGTTTTAAACATGCCCCAGTTTATACCATATTTTATTTATTTATTTGTCTATTCATATAACAAAAATATTTAAATTGGTTAGCTATGCAGTAATGTCATATGTGAATAATATACAATAATATTAAAATGAAATACGTAAAAAATCAATTTCATCCATCATAGAAAAAACTTGCTGATCCTGTTGAGAATACACTGTTTCCAAAATTTTACTTTTCTTGCTTCCTGATGTCATTTGCAATACATTAAACAGAAAGGGATAGATACTGTTCTGTTATCAGGACTTGCTCCAAAAATGTAGGTATGTATGCATGGATGGATGGATGTGTTCATGTATGCATGTATACATATATATATATATGTTTGTGTGTACACATATATATGCACATACATACACTTATGAATC